ACCCCCCCAATCCCCAAAAGTTTCTCAGCGGATTTGGGCTGTACTCAGCAAGCGCAGTACAGCCCTGAACTCAGATTTGAAAAAAAAACAGTGGATGGCCCTCTAAAGACTGCCGACCAGTCCGCCTACGGGTCAGCCCAACTGGTAGGCGAGCCGACGGCCTATGTTAGGCATCGGCCGTAGGCGGTCTGACAACCCTGCCTCAGGGGAAGAAAAAAGTCCGCCTTCCCATAGGACGGGTGCAGTCCTTGCTTTGGGGCCCCATATACCTTGGCCGCCGTGGTCCAGTGGCCTTGTGAGGGGCTCACTCCTCACAAAAACATGCATTCATTGCATTTTGGGAATAAGCCTACCGAATTCCGATAATACACATCCTGTACACAATAATGACAGACGGATTGAGAAAAGAATGAAAGAAATTCTTTGTCACTTTGTCTGACAGTGTGCACGTATACTTGGTGTGCATGAGTGATTTGCCCATTTGCCCATTGCCCATTTTCCCTGCACACCGGGAAGAACTAACCCATCGAGTATAAAATTTACCCATGGAGGCCACTCTATCTATTGGAAACGGATTGGACAGTCACTAAATAGTAAATACCTACGCAACTTGAAAAGAAATCAATGCTCTAACAGAAATGTAAATACACATTTAACACAGACCTTTTTTTTTTTTTTTTTAAACGAAGAACAAAATACAGACCTTTAGTCCGTGGTCCTTAGCAGTATGACTTGTGACGAGAACACGTGATGCCCACCTGAAAGGGAGGAACAAGAAAAAAAAACAAAAAAAGAAAGAAAGGGAGGAAGAAGGAACCAACCCAACAACACCATTCTGTCAAACAATGCACAACAGACAGCACTCACTTGAACACAAAGGGCCACCGCTCAGCAATCTGCACAACAGTCAGCATACAGAAACATCACTGCAACACCTGCTGAAAGGCCGTGACCATATGACCTTACCAAGACACCTTTGCTGTGCACGTTGTAGATAGAAAAAAACGATCTTCGACGACATGTGCACATTCATGATTGCTCTAAGGACCCTAGGGTGCAGTCACGATTTCACCTTTACATCCAGTTCAGGCATCCCTCGTATACCACACATCCCCACCTGACTCTAAAGCGCCCTAGTTGTATACATTCACGATTTTCCTCGGTTTGACACAACATTCACAAAATCGGGACTGAAACGCATTTTCAAACTGAAACCGCGACAGCGCCCTAGTTTTCCCTTGCTTTTTTTTTTCCCGTCCCTTGGACATTTTTAGTAAGTTCTTCCTTTTTAGTAACTTCTTACTTTTTGCTAAGTTAGGTAAGTAAACCATGGCTGCAAGCCTCTGGCTGATCCGAACAGCCGGATCACCCAGAGAGCCTAATCTTTTGGCTATGGTGGACCTTCATCTCCACTTGGTTGTCACTGCGCCAGGGAGGACCCTGTTGTGGTGACGGTTGGGCATGGCCGTCATTCTGGAGTGTGGCTATGGTGGAATGAGATCAGAGATGTATGATAGTAATGTGTTTTCTTTTGGATATCCGTGTTGAGCAGGGATTGAGCCGCCATAATCCATGGCGAAGAGGACGGAGATTGATGCATCCGCAGACCTTTGGAAAGCAGCGCAAAACCCCCTGCCGAGCGAACAAAGAAGTTCTTTTTTAAAAAAATTAAGAAATCACTACTCCTTTTCTCTTTTCTTTTTTCCCCATGCTAATCTTCTCTGTATCGTTCCAATTTTAACGTATGAAGTGCATTTGAAAAAAAGGAGACGGACTGATTTGTGGATAAGGAGGACCTTAGGAGGTGAGCGAGAGAACTTACGCGCAAGATGTCGGCGGATTCCAAACTAATCCTGGAAACACGACGAGCTGCATCATGTCAAACACAACCAGGAAAGAAAACCAGGAGGGCATTGCTAGCCAGTGAGGTAGCCAGCAAGGCAACCAGGTGGGCCCCACCACAATTGAAAGTTAGTTTCCAACAGTCAATAGTCAAAAAAAGAAAAGTGCAGAAGTGCAGACTCCAGACTCCATAGCAAAAAGAGAAAAAAGGTAAAAAAAATCAAAATGTACCCTTGGATCGAATTGGAGGGGTTTATTTACAACATGGCATCCATCCAGGTGGAAGAAAAATGAACAGTGCGAATGACAGAAACCAAATTGCATCACCCCACTGAAAGCCAGAAAGTTATGTGTTTGAAGAGAAGGCAGAGCGCACCAAGATATACACCAAATAAGAGCAAAGCAATGCACTCAATTGACAACATAAGCTCCCATCTCGCCTCCACCATCAATGTTTCCAATGGCGCTCGGCACCCAGACTACTACCAGACAGCACCTAGACTAGCCTATCCTCTACCGACGGCAGCAGGTCTTCAAGAAGTGCAGCTCCGATGACCAATGAAGACACCGACTCACGCGGCCGTCATCCTTGTTGCCAGGTACATGTCCTCATCCACCAACCCTCATCCTCGGCTTGTCCCACAGCCCCTCCTCCTCCGCCCAAGAACCACCGCCATACCCCTTTGGCTTCCTGTGCGAGCAGCCCGGCTGTGGCCGCCGCACAATGCTGTGCCCAGCAGCTCTGTAACCCAGCGCCTGTGTGCGCTCACCCTCCAGCCAGCTCATCTCACCAGCCTGCGTTCGAACAGTGCTGCCGCACAAGAGCTAGCCAGGATGCCCCCGAGCTCTGGCTGCTCTCTTTCCTTTATGGAAAGCTGGCTGGGTGGCGAGAGGCTAGGCTGGCCTGAACGCATGCTGTCCCAGTAGCTGTGTCCCAAGGCCCTTCCCAGAATGTGCCTGGGGCTTCAACTGTAAGGGTCTCAAGACTGAGAATTTGAGGCTGGGCAGCATCTTCAACTGTCGGGCCCTACAGGGTGGTTGAAGATGCTGCGATGCAGCAACCAACCCACGGGGCCTTTTAGGAGCCTTCTGTTTCAGCAACCACCTTGGAGCCCCGTTGCTCTCAGAATTGACTAAAATAGGCCAAAATGAAAATTCAGCCCCGGCTTTACTCAGGGCGGGCACAGGGGCCCTTTGCAGAATTGCCAAGGGCTCGGATCCTCGCACAGGACAATAAAACAATTATAAGAAGGGATCATTTGCAAAATACCCCCATAAGTTTGACATATACGCCAGAATGCCCCTGAAAGATGTCAATAGAGCGGAATGCCTATCTGACAAAAGTATATATTTTTTGTGAAGTACCCCTGGCGTCGGTTGGACCCCCCATCTTTGCAATATACCCCTGCCAGGTACCGTCCAACTTTGCAAAATGCCCCGGTAGTTGCCAACTTTTCCAAGGGCCAATTGCAAAGTGCCCAGGCCCCATTAGCGAGGTCCACATTGCAAATTTGCACACCGGCCCGACAGGGGCATAACACAAAGAATTCGGCCCAAAAGCGCATTCTGCTCTACCCACATCATTCAAGGGCATTTTGGCATATATGTAAACTTATGGGGGTATTTTGCAAATTATCCCATATAAAAATTGTCAAATCAATCCCTGCACTTATAGAAATTGCTATTTGGCACGCAACATTTGGCCGATCCAGGCCGGCCGACGCCCCGGATTTCCGCACGATCTTAAGACTTTAAGACTAAGATCGCGCGGCGATCCAGACCGTCCACTTTGCCGGACGGCCCGGACCGACACGCAATCTTAAAGTCTTAAGATCACGCGGAAATCCGGGCCGTGGGCGGCCTGGATCGGCAAGCCCGTTGAGAAGAGGGTCGTTGCGGAGCGGCGGCATGGCCCTGTTCGCGTTGAACGGCCCGTTGGGTTGAGGGCTGTCCGACTTCATGCAACGGCTGCGCTACACGGCAAACTACAACCGTACGCGACAAACTACTGCCCTACGCGACAAACTACAACCGTACGCGACAAACTACTGCCCTACGCGACAAACTGCCCTGCGCAACAGAATGCCCTACGCGACGAACTGCCCTACGTACGTCGTTTTTGGTACTTTGTGCCCTACGGTCTTGCCTACGCGACCTACTGACTTGCCTACGCCGACCTGGGCGACCTACGCGACCTAGGCGACCTACCTACAGCCAACATGATCCACGCAACCTGCCTACGGCCTGCCTACCGTCTCTCTCTCTCTCTCTCTCTCTCTCTCTCTCTCTCTCTCTCTCTCTCTCTCTCTCTCTCTCTCTCTCTCTCTCTCTCTCTCTGTGTGGAGCTCCTCTCCCTCTCTCTCTCTCCCCCCTCTCTGTCTCTCCCTCTCCCTTTCTTTCGCTCAGTGCTTGGTACTTCGTGCTTGGTTGTGTTTGGTTCGTGCATCGGTGCCACTTTCGTGCTACTTGGTGCTACTGAGTGCATTTGTGCTACTTCGTGCTACTCCGTGCTTGGTTTGGTTTTGGTGCTACGTGCATCGGCGATTGGTTCGTGGGATCCGTGCTTCGTGCTAAGTGCAACGGTACGTGCATCGTGGAATCGGTGCTTGGTTCAATCTGGCATAGTCGAACCTTTTTTTATGGTGTTGCGTAAAGCGAACATGACGTCACACACACGCACGCAGATGCATCTTGGGCAGACTGTCCGGGTTCAACCTCCGATGAAACAGTCTGGACAGTCATGCTTCCTTTTTGGCGTGCACGAAGG